CACGCATTCGGTAAGATACAAGCTTTTCGGGCAATTATTCCAGCCTCGTAAGTTCTATAAAAAAATTCTGTGGAATACAGTTAACGATTCTCAAGTTGAATATTAATGTTGATTACCTGTATCACTATTTGATTATACACAAAATTACCATTCAATTCCTCTCGAAAATCTCTTATGGACGAACAAATAACATTCTTATTTATGCAATCATAAATCGAAATTTAACCCTTTGCACTCGAGAGGCACTCTCAGTCATTCGATTGGACAGGAAAATTATAAAATGGAAAATTCAATATAAACACTTCTGCTCCATAATCTATGCAAGATGTGTCTCTAAGTAGTAAATAATATTGTCAATATCTCATCAGAAATTAATGAATATAATGAAAAATACTATAGAGTGCAAAGAGGTAATTACAATTAAAATTAATCACAATTAAGTTAATAAACTGATTTACTAACGCGTACTACAGACCGTGATTCAATTTTCTCAACATGTTAACCCTTTGCACTCCGAAGTTTTTCACTAGAAACATTTCAACATTTTCTGATAAGATGAAGACGATATTTTGTATAACCAACTCGACGAGAAAGTCACGTGAATTGACGGACAAAGCAATTTTACGTCAATATTTCTCAGACTGATGCATTATATGAAGTATAATATTAAATATCAAACTTTATAGCTTCACTGTAGGAAATCAAATGGTGACTGAGAGTCATCCGAGTGCAAAGGGTTAAGCGTCATGTCACTCACTGGTGATTAACGCTTCTAAATGACTAGAAAACAGTTGTAACACAAGATACCTGATGCGAAATGAAAATTTTTAACAAATAACTAAGTTGATTATACTATAATGCAAACATTGTACAAATAATTAATAATTCCCTGCTTTTCTCTGCGTCAGAGGAGAAACTCTACGGGAAAACGCTTAAGATTTTCATTGAGTTTAACGCGTTAATGATCTCTCTTTCGAATTGCACAAGAGAATAAAGACTGACTCAACCAATCGGTGGGTCCAGTGTTAAAAGCGGCCCGCGTACAGCGCGTCGTTTATTACGCCACGCCTCCGCGAACCGTACGCCGCGCGGGCCAAGAGAAAAATATCTACTCGGTTGTTCCGCGAGGAGGAAACGCGTCGTCGCGATTCGAGTCATGACCGAGAGCCCGCTCCATCCTTGCCCCGTTTTACGATCCGCCTCTTCCGGCGACCCCGGCGTGTTGTTGTTTTGAACTACGCGGGAATAAACACGGTACGTGATGTTTTCGATCCGCTTTATATTTTCGCCGGGCTCAGACTGCAGATCGATGGACCGAGTTACGTACAAATCCCGAATCGATTCGTATGGAGATGCCTTCGACGGGCTCGGATTTCGACCTCAGTGTAACAGAACTTTTATGTTACTTCCAGCGTGGCGCAACGGTTCACGAGAATTCCCCTGGAAGAAACGCGGGAGAAAGATCGACCGTGTTCGAGGGATTTATTTAACGCGGTCGATACTGAAGTCGGATATTCCTTACGGTTGCAATTCTGCATTTTATACGAGGAAAAGGAGTTTCTTAGCTTCCAAATTGCTGAAGAGCAATTAAAACAATGAAACTTCATTGAAAATTTCATCGAGAACAATGAAACCCGACATGCCAGTTATGTATTGGGTACAATCATATAAAATTAATTTCCAAATATAGTTTTTCGAGAAAGAATCCCGACACAGTTGTATGATTTCATACGCGGTTTAACACTAGGTTTATGGACGTTTATTGTATTGTTTATTCTATATCTTAGAAAAATTGATGTTCATCTAGATTTTCGAAATTAGAAGTTTAACGCGTTCATTGTCACTGATGAGCGGAGCTTACAAATTGCTGAAGAACAATTATAATAAAGGAGTTGAATTTAAATAAAAATATTTAGTGACACGTAGGTAGATGAATAATTAGCTAGATGAATAATTAGTTTCAGTATCATTTGCTTTTGTTATTGAAGAATAAGCATTACTATTCGAAACGCTAGAAATACTGGCAGTCAACGTGTTAATGTAATTGCAACTGGGACATTGAAACTGGGGAATTTGTTATAGAAATAGGTGATACTGTTAGATTGATTATAGTATTAACTGCGTTCTCGTGTAATGTTTCTCTATCGACAGTTAACAATGAATGTTTATTTTGAACTATCAAAGGAATTGAATTTTAGACATTCGAAATGCTATGTATGGGAGGGAATTTATTCGAGATTAATTTTAACCCGATGTCTGTTTGACTGAATGAATTATATTAATTTTCTAAGAGTTCTTGCAGAAACTCACTCGACGATCAACGAGTGAAGCATCGTCACTGTTAAGGGTCAAAATGATTTTGAAAGTTAAAGGGAAAACTTGTGTTAACGAGAATCGTAGAACGTGCAGCCTGATTCTAATTATTTTATAAACAGTTTAAAAGCGAGTCGAAGAAACGTGAAGTTGCCATTATTTCATCGGGGAACGGCCACTCGAACTCGTAGACTATTAACGGTTCAGAGACAAGTTATTTTTTCACTAGCTTTCACTTGTCTCTCCTTGTTTTCCGTTTCGACGGAATTTTCACTGCCTTTGTTTTTCTATTTCCTATCTCCTTGTTTGTAATTTCTTCTACAACTGTACTTGAGGAAATTACTTTATCCTCGATAACTCATTAGACAAAGGAAATAATTGAATATTTACTTTTCACTATCTTTCTCTGTTCCTCCTTACTTTCCATCTCTTGTTTGGAATTTCTTCTACAACTGTACTGGACGAAATTACTTTATCTTCGATAATTCATTAAAAAAAGGAAATAATTGAATATTTACTCTTCACTATCTTTGTTCCTCCTTACTTTCCATCTCTTGTTTGTAATTTCTTCTACAACTGCACTTGAGGAAACTACTTTATCCTCGATAATTAATTAAAAAAGGAAAATAATTGAACACTTATTCCACATCTACGAAAGTTAACGTTCGATAATAGAAAACATCTAACACACATTCAACGAAAATAACATTTCACTTGAAAATGTCCATCCCAAGTCAAACACGATATAACAAGGCAATGATTTAAATATTCAACTCAATTTAAACTACACGCCAAAGAATAATTTAAAGAGTCCTTGTAACCACCTGCCAGACATTCGTATTTCAGTGTTACCTTGCAACCGAGCTCGTTACTCGCCATGCAAAACTGTCGATTAATTAAACGACGCTTCGAATTACCAACGTTTGCACCTTTACCCCGGCGAGGTTACATCACCTGTTACGTCACTCCCCGTTCACGCAACTTTCTTCTCCCCGTTCCATCGCGCAAACGACTCGAACGATTTCGTAACAGTCCATCGCTGGTTCGCGCTTTGTTATTCCAATTTCCTTATCCCCGGTTTGTCACCTGGATCTCGCTGTTGTTACCTCGTTCCCCGTGCCCTCCGCAGGCGCAATTCTATCCGCGATCTAAAGGGATTACTTGGACCGCATCCCATTCCGACGAATTTCGAGAAAACCGAATAGAATGGGAGACTTTAAATCACCTTGAAATTGAATTAACCTGTTACTGGCGAGCCGAGAGAAGTGAAAAACGATATAACTCGTGAAATGGTATTCACCGATAAACAATTCGACATTTAGAATATTTAAACTGTGTTTCTGTTTACCTTTATACTATCGATACGCGTTTCTCTTGCGTGTCTACCGTATAACTACTCCAAGAAATCAAAGAACTCCAATTTACTTCAGAAACATAATCACGTTGACACTACAACTACCGAGCAGTTAACTCAACTCTCCGAAATTCCTCTATAGAAACTGCAATGCAGCTATCGAAATTTTAATTCACAATTCAGTTTACCTGTTGCCAAACCAATCTCTTAAATACTTTCTGCGAGTAACATGTTATTTTCACCCTTCGCACTCGGATGTTTCTCACCAGAAATTTAACGTTTCTTCAGACGAAAACTTTCTTGAAACTAACTCGAAAGAAAGCTATTTTATTCTAAAATTTCACGCATCAAGGCGTTATACAAAGTTCAAACATTAAATATCAGCTTTTATAATATTACCGCATCAAATGAAATGACTGAAAGTTGCCTTCCAAGTGCGAAGGGTTAATTACGAAAGGAACAAATCAGGAATGGATGATTTTACCTATCTGGTAGTTTCACTAATCATAGATTAATCCTTAAAATAAGTGGGGTCCTATAGGGAGACCAGAAAGTATTTTTCCTTAATAATTTTGTAATTTTTCGTAATTTTTCATATTTTATGTATTTTCTCTTTTTCCTCGTCAAGCATTGTGGATGATTTGTCTATTTTAAAAGCATTACCGTTATTTTTACTAGTTATAAGCATACTGGGCTCTCCAGGAGGACCCCACTCAGCATTTTAAGGGTTAACCCTTTGCGGACGGACGTCACATTTCGACAGGATGAAATTCCCATGTTTCGAAGATTAACACATTGAGCGCGTGTTTTTTAGTCTATCCTTTAATTGCTAATCCTATGTTCATGCAAAATTTTAGATATGTATAACACAAATCCGAAGTAAAATTTATAAAACCGAATTCCTTATTCTCTTCCGTAAGTTAGAAATTTTGGTTTAATCGATGTTTAAAAACGTATCAATACAATCACCGACGCTCGCGTTTTCTAGCTGAAATTTAGCCGGCGTTCAATGTGTTAAGTCGCGAACAGATTATTGAATTACTCGAACAGCGAGAGGTCAGTACGCAGCTTCCTCTTTCTTCTATTATTCAACACGTTGAACGCCGCACGATTTCATAGAGCAAAATACACAAAATGGAAAAAGTACAATATTAAATCATTCGACTGAATTGTATTATCATTGCACGTTCATCAAATTGAATGTAACCGCAATGAATAGCATTATTCATAATATAGAAATGTGTGCGAATAATCATCGTTTCATTGAGTGAATCACAGTAATTCGATTTGCTTGGGGGTCACCGGTGACCCCCATGGCATTCAACGTGTTAAGCAATCGATGTACAATTTAGCTTCATCTAAATCATTCTAGATTTAGAATCCTCCGCAAAGGGTTAATAGAGAAATCCCGAATATCTGCGAATCAACGCTCCAAGGCAAACCATAGACCCGAAATATCCGCAACGCGTCCTATCCCCGACGACACGCGTCCTTTCTTTTATCTCCGCCGGTTATCTTCCGTGGAAATCCCATCCTCGGCGAAGGCGGGGCTCCTTCCGCTCCGTGACTCGAGGAGCAACGTCAGGCCCCTGTTCCGTGACGCACGCGGCGCCACGGAAATTCAATAGATGGCTGGACGGTAGAGAATGTTGTATAGATTGTTACGGTGGGCATGATCTATGGGAGCACCGTGGCCTGGCCGACCCCAGAGCCTCCTCCAGGTATCGAAGTGCCTGCGACAGCTCTCTTGTTCCATCCGTCGTTCCTCCTGGAACGAGAATCTGCCCTGAATACACGTTGCGTGACCCCCATCCACCCTCCGATCCCCTTTAACCCCGGCCGCCCGCCGCCGCCGCCGCCGTAACAGGTCCTTGTGTCTCCGCGCTTTAGAGTTAATTGCATACTTGGAGGAGAACAGAACGCTTCCACGGTTAGTAATTGAAAGTCCTGATCAAACGGAAGCGTTACTCATTTGCCGCGATGTTTGAGTCCCCTTAATGACAGTGGCCGGGTGTTATTTGGGGAAAATTGTTTCAATATCGCCGCTCAAACAAGCCCGCCGCGCGATGAGAAGTTCGTTTCAATTAATTTGACGGTTCGCCCCGTCGGCTGCGGCGCGGATCGAGTTGTCAAAAGTGCGGGGGATCTCGGTAACTCGGTTAGAGCCGGGGGAGATTCATTTTGCGCGGATGGTAATGGCAAGATTTACCGGGGAGCGATTCAATCTATTATTGTATTATACACTCGAGCGCGGTCGTTTCATTTGTTTCGCCGTTCCATCGTTCGCGGATGTTTGTTTTGTTTATCGTGGAAGTTAACATCGGAGATGGAGTGTAGACAGTCGTAAAATAGTGTTTTATGCGTTTCTGGTGGGAAATAATAATTTTCGTTCGATCGAATTAGGAATATTTGATCATCGAAAGGCGAGAAACAAGTCGACAGTGATCCGTGACAGTTTGCTGAATTACTGTTCCGCAGGTTGTATTGCTAACAGTGTTTCGATGTCCTCTAATTCAGAGACGCTCGATGGAACGCGAGGGTTAATTAATGCCAGCGCGAGCGTATGAAGCGTTAACGCCGAGCCACCGGGATCGAAGCCGTTAGTTTTAGGTTCACCGCATTATTATTTGATCAGGCCAAGTGCGCGAGTTACCCGACACGCCTCTGAACCGGTTCAATAGTGTTCGCCACGGGGTGGATCCCCGACGATCGATACAATTAGCGCCGCGCCTGATAAGCAGCCGCTGTTATGCGATTCTACGCGATCGTTCACCACTTACCAGTGCGTGCTCCCGCTTCCGTCGCATTTGCTCGACGAGCTCGCCGATGTACTCGCGATTCCCGATCCCCAGCCTTCGTAATCTGCCGACAAAACCGGCGTGAATGGACGTTGCCGCGTCTGACGGTATCCGAGGACGAGCGTCTTGTTTCGGGAATGCTCAAACCTTGACTACTACTGGATTAGATGAAATTAGACGATTCTACTGTTGAATAATATTTCATTCACCGATAAGCATGATGTAAACAGGAGTAATCTAAACGTAGACGTAATCTAAATAGGAACAGAAAATAAAAAGTATCTTTCCTTCGAGAGAAAGAATTGTTTATTAACCCTTAGCACTCCAGATTGTTTTGTAATCTATTAGCAACTGCAACTAATTTTGATAGTATTATGAAAATGAGAAATACTATAACATTTCTTCGGTCTTTCATTTTCCTTGTTAGTACAGAATTTGGATGTGTGGAGAATCTAATAATTTTAGGGTAGTTTCTTTAAGATTCATTGAACTACTTAATATTATAACTGATGCAATATTTGAGCCTACAGAGTTCAAAGGGTTAATCCCATTTATTCATTGGAACAAATGAAATTCTTTAATTCGCGTTCGATAGATAAGAAGCACAAACATAATTTAAGAAGCATAATTTTTATAGTATTCCTAACGCAAATAAGAAATGCTATAACATTTCCTCGATCTTTTATTTTCCTTGTTAGTACAGAATTTGGATGTGTAGAGAATTTAATAATTTTAGGGTAGTTTCTTTAAGATTCATTGAAATACTTAATATTATAACTGGTGCAATATTGGAGCCTACAGAGTGCAAAGGTTTAAACAAATGAAATATTTCTCAAAGGTAGTGTATAATATAGATATGCTTGAAGTAAGGACTAGTGCATAGAATATTCTAGAAATGTGTGTATTAGAAGCGGTAGAATGATTGAAGTATAAGGCAAGTAGTAAGAGTCAACGTGTTATCAGACACGCTTATTTTCTCTGATACAAAGATTCTATCGCACTGTGATTTTCGTCTGATGAAAGGGAAGGAGAGAAAAGCAATGGAACTAACGAAATATTGATCGGTATTGATTGAGCTTTGTAGAAATTGGAGCCCCGAAGAAAAACAAAATACATCGGGCATCCGCAATTTAATCGTAACGACGCCACGGCGCGGATTAAACCTTCGATTTTCGCTGTTCAAAGGAGCGGAGGGACGTGCGTGAACGGTCTTTTCCCTTCCCAGACGTTCCCAGCCAGACATCGTCAAATGCCTGATCAAAAACGGCTGAAATTGCAGTCTGTAATTGCTCCGCGTGCGCGCCGGGTAAAACGCCGGCGAAATTGCGGCTCAGCGAGCGCGGAACTTTCACCTGGCCGGGAGCACAAAGGCCGCCCTTACGACGGTATAAATATTCGAACAATAACTTGTAATTTCGCGGGGCTGGGCAAATGGCCGCGACACTCATTACAATACGTATGAAAACTTACGATAACAGCTGCCCCGCAGCGGAATTGCTTCGCTTTAGAGCCTCTGTTTTCGAATACACTCGGGGAAAGTGTGTATCGGAGGCAAGGTATTAACTTCGAGGATTTTTTCGTTCCTCGCCGTTTCTGTAGATTAAAACGTGTTTAAGATTGTGCGAACTTTGTCCTGTGCCTTGAAGATGATAGTCTATGCTAAATTTTCACATCCAGATCTACATCGTATCTAGTTTAACACTTTGACTGCCACGTAAACACTCATCAAAACTCCCATGTACTCGAAACAGTTTTCTCCATTAACCAGAAACTGAGAAATCAAGATTCTTCTTAATGATTGCTCCACTATCTTTCTTATATCTCATATATCCAACAAAATTCGGTTCGTTCGATACGTCATGAAAAAAATTAATGTCCACGTTTCTGTAAAAAATAATGTCACCCGAATCCGGGTGACGTGGCAGTCAAAGTGTTAACCAGTTAACTGTGGAATTTAGTTTGAAAAATCTCTCATCGCCATAAAATCAAATAATAAAGTGTATACTCGTCAAACGCAGAACAAATGCATCTATAACATATTCCAGAAACTAAGGCAAAATGGAGAATCAAACATTCAGCTGAAAAAATTAATAATTTATCGTTGAGAAGATCAGTACCATTTTGCGTTTTAAGATGACGTGTATACTCGTCGATCGCAGTTAACTAATTAACACTTTGCATGCCATGGTCACCGATGATCTCAACCAAATCGAGTTACAGTTCATTCGATTAAACGATGGTTACTTGAAAACTTTTCTATATTATAAGTAACACCACCTAATGCAGTGACATTCAACGAGACAAACCTACAATAAATTGATATTACATTATTCTCGTTTTCTATATTTCTCTAAAATCGTGCGGCAACGTGTTAACTCGCTAAGATCAAAGCTACGCCTAATTTAGATATATCCCGAAACATTGTTGAGGGATTGTAATGAACCAAAGACAAGGCTTAAAATAATTTTGGTTCAATTTTAACTTGTAATTAATACTCGCAATACTTTCTCAATAACTTTGTTCTCGCCAACTCGCAATTCTCACAAAAAGAGACTCTTTTCCTCATGCGTCCTTCCTAATATACTAATCACTCACTCACCTTCTCGCATACACAGATTTTGCGGTTATCGCCGCTAATATCCCGCTCTCGCTCTTATTTTCATTCGCACTCTCACTCACTCTCTCGGTCAATCACCTATCGCTTGTTTATTTCTCGGATGACCGACAGCTGACCGGCAACCCTAACGACAGCTAGTGTCTGTGTTCCTTTATTCGTTCCTAACTGCCGTTCGGACTTTAACAGCTTAACTTCCTACATTATTATTTCCGTTCCAAGCGAATCCGTGTGAAATTAAGCTACAAAAGTCTCGACCAATCCCATCTTAAGCCACCTTTGAGTTAGGTCTAATCCAGACCTCGAATTTGCTCGGGTCTCCTAAATCTGAAGGTAAATTTAAATGAAATTTAAGCCACTCCGAGCTAAGTCTGAACCGGGTCTTCATCATGCTCCTCGGAAAGATCAAACAAAGCTGGCATCGGCCGAATTGTTTGTTCTATCCCGGCGTTGATCACGGGAACACGTACGGGGGGGCAATGAAATATTTCTTTAACAAAGAACCAGCGCGGTTTCCCATCTCCCGGATAAACTCGCCGCGATCTATAAAAGTTTTATTGGCTCATCGTGTTTGAAAAGTTGCCCGGGCATCGCAATGAAACACGAGTGCGCGCTGAAGGGGATCCGAGTGGCGGGGAACGCGCCGTCTGGTAAACAGGGACGATACCTTTTACGATCAGAATATATACGGGGGAAACACATTCGCGGGTACTTGTTGCCACGCTTCCCATCGGGGCGGACTAACTTCCGCCGCGGGGGCGAACTTCTATCGCGCCGGAGAATTATTGCCCCGGTTGTTTCGCCATCGCGCTGCCATTTTTATGCGAATATTATCCGTACGGTACGGTTTTGCATAACCCCGCCGTCGATGCTTCCCGGCGTATAACTGAATAAATGGGGACAACTTGTTTCGACGATGGCGGACGCGTGTCGCCTACCAGAACCGTGCACCTTCGTCTTCCGCGTTGCACATACCGGCTGCGGATATTCCTATTGCCCGATGTCGCGAAATCTCGCAAATGAAAACCGCAATTACGTATCTTCGAGTTTGCCGGATGAAAAATTGAATTTCCCGGGTTTTCGGAACGACGCTGCTGACTGTTTTAAATCTCATATAGAATAGGAATTGCAAACTTTAGATCCTGGAACAGGTGGAATATAAATTGCAATTTCCGGCGGGCAAACAAACCGTAAATTCAAACGTTCTCCGCGGTTCTACGCCGGCCCCATCAGTTATTCTTAATTTACTTGGCAAGTCGGAAGAAACGGAATCAAAAGATTACCCCGCGAATGAAAGCAAACGCCAGAAACAATGAGACGGCAGGACGCGCGAAAGCGTTTCCTTTTTTTTCCAAAGGAAACGAATGCAGCCCGGTGCACAATGGAGAATGTCCAGGGTCAGCTGGCCCGAAGTTCACTCACCGTTTAAAAACGAGTAGCCTTTACAGCGGGGAAATTACAAAAATCTGCGCGGATTACGCGGGGGATTGCGTCTCGTCCGAGGAATAATTCCACGGGAAGGAATAATTTCCCCCCGTTCCCGAAGAGTTAAGCCCGGCCGAACGCGTAAGAGAGGATAATCAGCTCGCTGTCTCGGAGACACGCGCGCCGGACATTCTGTCCGGGATGTTCACCCCTTAATAAGGGTGCTTAACCCTGCTGCGGTCTTCAGTTCTCCTGGACACTTGAAATATTATCGGGAAAGCAAAAACGCGGCACTGCCAGCGGTTTCCTTGAAATTTCCTCAAATTCGAAAGATCCTTTAGCGAGGATAAGATAAATAGACAAATATTTGAAAGGACTCAACAAATTTAGAAGAATTTTCAATGTGAGGGAAACTCGAGATAAAATTTTTGAGATCGAAGTGCTTCAATCGTTGCAATAATTATTTGTGGTATGGTAATTCTATCGTATACTTATGAATAAAGTTTAAATAAATGTTTTCACTAAAGTATGTTTGACACATCGAATGCCATCGGGTCACCGGTGACCCAACCAAATCGAATTACGATAGTTTACTCAATTAAACAATGATTTGAAAACATTTCTATATTCCAGATAATGTCACTCACGCGGTGACATTTAGATGAACGTGCAACGTTAATAATGCAATTCAATCGGAAGATTTAATATTTCAGTTCTGTGTCAAATGAAATAACGTTGACGCAAGTGGAAAAATACAAAGTTGGGTCACTCGAGTTCCGAAAGGTGCGCGGCACCAGGAAAACGAATGAAAAGTGTGGTTAAAAAAGATCCTAACGGGGTTAAACGTTGCGTCACGTGGCAAGAGCTGACGAGAATCTGATTTCCTCGTCGCGAGCGTCCCGGTCGCCGAGAAACGGAAACGAATTTATAGACGGGACGGGAAAGGGCAGCGCGCCGGGAATAATAGGATTTTTAACGATCGGTGGAACGTCGGGAGTCAATTGGGTTCCCGGGCGTATTAACGATTCGTTAAGCGACAGGCGATAAAATATGAACACGGAGTATTGGGAGCCTCGAAGAAGACGAGGGGTTTCTTCTCGGCCGACGGACAGCGAGGAAATTAGAAAGGCAAGCCGAAATAATGAGGCGAATCCGCGCAGAGAAGCGTTGATCCTCGAAGGATTTACGAGGGATCTATGACGATATTTTAGCTGGGATCGAGTCTATGTCGGTTCAGAGATAAACAAAGGTGTCAGTGGAAATAAGATCTGCTGTGTCACTGTATGCCGGGTGCCTACTCTTTTCTATAGAAATGTTCTCTAATAAAACTGTACCTTCGATCAGGATCGAATAATGTTTAACAATATAATTCTCAACAAGAACTGAACAACGTTAAACACGTCAGAACATCGAGAAAATTCGCTAAAGAGCTAACAACGACAATTCTTCATCAAAAGATACAGCAAAGTAGATCAGATTCGTTAAGAAAACGATGAAAGGGCGGCTGAGATGGAAAATTAAGTGGAACAGGTCGACGATTCCTCAGACATAGAAGGAAATTCCGTTCGCAACGAAGGGCGTTACTGTAAACAGTTAAAGAATCATTACTCCTGCAATTTTCCCAGCGATTCTACATTCTCCGCTCGCCCCAAAGATAACAAGAAGAGAAGAGAACGTAAACAAGGTTCCAGTCGCGATTCGAAACGCAAGCGAACTTCCCCTTTGAGGCGCGCCGCGTCTCGAGTAGAAACACCGGACGAGCTTAGAGCCTCTTTTTTTTTCTCCCCTCCCTTTCCTCCTCTTCTTTCCCCGGGCGGGCGAAGAAAAGCAATCTTTCAAAGTGGGCGGAGAAAGTAAAAGGAAAGTGAGCGGCGCGAGAGACAACACTCGACGGGGCGACCGTCTCGAACGATTTTTCAGCGCGTAATTACCCCGAACCAGCGGCGGGGACGCTGCTACGGGGAGCGAGTGTTGACGAGCACACGAACCGACAAGGCTGTAACGTTGACAAACATTCGAGAGGAAAAGGGAGCGAGCCGGCTGAAGTTGCCGGGGCCGCGGGAGATCAGGTCAATGGGCTGATTAACTGTAACGTGGTTACAGTGCTACGGCAACTCCCAGCGCCGCTAACAACGGAACCAGATACGCCGCTGCAGGCGCACGGTTCGTTGCGTTTTGATGTTTCCGCGAGGCCATTCCTGGGTGTGACTTGAAAATTAACCCCTTCGCCTGTGATATCTGTAGTGTCGTAGTGTAGGGTTTTTTTCCAGACGGGTGACTGAGTGTGAGATGAATGGTTTGTTGCGTGTGCGATTGCGGGCGACCAGATCATAGTGCGACGGACCGGCACCGCGATGTTTGGTAAATAGCGTGACTGCGTTTGGAAGATCTTGAGTGGCTGAAAGAATGCGAGGAAGAGTGTGGTAGAATGGCGAGAGTTTTTAGAGAGTTGCGTTGACTTGAGAAGAGAAAAGACCTGTACACTGCGAGCTATATCGTTTCTATTTATTTGTATTTTATTCAATTATCTATCCCTGAGTTTTTTTTTAAATAAAACATATATAAACACCATTGATACGTGTCTTTCTCAACTCCGATCGATACGGCTACTTTGTCATTAATAATTTATTGGGAAAAGAGAAAAATTCTGAACGTATGTTATGTCTATATTTCCTTTTAAGTATAATAGTCGATCACAGAGGAGTAATATTTACTTTGAATTCGAATGAACTGAGTAATATATATTTGTTGAATCATGTTGAAAATCTTCAGCACGAGTCTCACTCGTTGTAGGACAAAGGGTTAACTGAAACTTGATGGAATTGTTTGTGGAACGCTGCGTGTGTGCGCTAAAAGGATAAGGATGTGGTAGAGGAGATTATTGAGTATTTCTCTGTTGATCGAGGTGTCAATGTAATGCCTCTACATGTTAGAGAAGGAGGAATTAGAAATTGATAGGGAAAGAGATTATTAGTTGGAATACTAAACATTTTTGTTGAGATTGTTCGGATTGCAGGAAAATATTAAGCGGAACACGCACGAAATTAGAGATGCAATTCTAAAAGGGATGTTTCTAAGGAGATAAAGGTTGATTGAAATCACTCGCGGTCATTTATTCTATGGTTTCTACTACACAAAATCGGAGGAAGAATTAAATTTGCATTTGTGCTCGGATAATTACCCAACTATTGATCAGTTGTTCCACTGCAGGTATATTGTGAGGAATAAGCGATGCCTCGCTAGAAAATTTTCATGAGCACCGATGCAAGTGGAAATACCCTTTAATGGGTCAGACATCCTAACCAAGTGACATTTGAGCTTTCAAATTATGCGGAGCGACGTCCCACTGATGAAATTACGTGTAATCGATGTCACGAGTTAAAAATACGGAACATCTCCGTACCAGTTCTAAGTAGTAATTACTTTAATTAACCATAAGCGTCTGCGCAGACAGCGCATAAATTCTCACAAAAATAGACTCGATCCTCTGGAAAGAGAACGTCGTACAAAAATACTCGCTCTCAATTCCCTCAGAATGTTTTCTTGTGGACTATTCCTACTTCGGAACAGTGTCGTTTCGCGTGGCACGGCGCTGAACATTTCGCGATCGCAAGGGCCGTAACTAGGGTTACGCGTGAAACGTGTCGAAGGGCTTATAAAACGGTCGCGCGTCGGATCGAGGAAAACAAAGACCGGGAATAGGTAGAGAGGAATCGAAATTTCATTTCCATGTGATACGTACGGCTGTATCGAGTATCCAGGCCGCGTAGCGTCGGTCGCGACGTAACGAGTGCTTTGTGGCTGCGAGTAATAACGCCTGCTAGTCAAAAGCGGCACCAATTCCACGCCCCCAGTCAGCTCGTACACCTGAACTTCCTCGTTGTACCGATGTCTCGAATCCTCCGCCACTTGCATGTCCGTTACGATGCCTGCCAAACGAATCGATCCGTCAACCGACGACCTTCGCGCGATCATGGCCACGAGGTGGACACTGCCGGCTGTCGCTGTTCAAACATTCAGGCGTCATTCAATCGAAATTTAACCCTTTGCACTCGAAAGTTTCTCACTGGAAATATTCAATACTCTTCGATGAGAAACGATGCTCTTTGAAACTAATTAACGAGGAAACATATATCAATTAACACATTGAGCGCATTGAATGTTCTTAAATTCAATAGCGACTAAACTATGTCTACTTATTTAACACGTTGAATGCCGTGGGGTCACTGGTGACCCAACCAGATCGAGTGGCTACAGTTCATTGAATTAAACGATGCTTATCTGCAAGCATTTCTATATTACAAATAATGCTACCTAACGTTTCGTTTGACTAAATCAACGAGCAGTAACAATGCACTTCAAATTATTGAATATTATAGCTTTTCCGTTTCCTTATCCTATCGCTTGAGCGCCGGCCCCGCAATAATGCGGATTTCTGGATCTCCATTTCTGGATATGACGAATATCCAATTAAAATGTACTATTTTACGGAAATGTTAATGTTTGGAATATTTTTTTGGCTACTCATTGATCAGATACAAGCGAATGAAGCCGGCGTTTGGGCTAAGTGGCCGATACGTTGCCGACGCTCAGGCTTTAATTCGCCGGCGCTCAATGTGTTAAGAAGGAAAGTTATTTTATTTCAATATTCCATATATCGATACATCGTACAAAGCTTGATATTATATATAAGACTTTATAATTTTGCAAATCAAATCTGTAAAGAATGCAAAGGGTTAATATAGAAAAATCGTTCTCACGCTTCCCGGAGGGTTCCTCTTCAGAAATGTCTGCAGAATTCAATATTCCATAGCAAATTCGTGTTAGTCAACCCACTTTTCGTAGAAACGTAACAGATGTGCGTACAAAGTACTACTTTTCAAACTTTGATCGTCACTTGCAAACATTTAATGACACGCAATGTTCAAAATTTTTATAGTTACATATTCGGGCAACTCTCCTCTACCTTTTACGACAAATTTTAACTGCCCATCGTTTTTAGTTCTCACGTAACGCTTGTTTCACTGAAAAATTCGACCGTTTTTACGAAAACTGGACGTGACCCAGCAATTTGGTTTTCCGATTCGTATTTAGGGTAAATATCTCTATAAGAATCACCTAGTGTTTATTGCAAAACAGAAAAAGTTGAAATTTGTTCTACATTGAGATCATTGATCCCATATTCGAGTATTGGGCGCAACAGGGTTACTAGATCGTGGGAGCCTGAATTCCCTGAACAGCTGACCCAAGTTTACCTGGCTCCGCTTTGTCGTCGAAGAACCTGTTCATATCCGTGACAGCCATGGGATTAATATGCTTCCGATGTAACCTCTCGATCGTCGAGTCGCTTGTCCAGCCCTGCAACACTGTCCGCTGTAACTAGACGCAACTGGTGCGGCGCGCGTAACCTTACACCGTCTCTATCCAGCGAAAGTTGTCAATCCATTCGTTAACATTTAAACAACAAGAACGACTGGTTCCTTAATTACCAAACAGCCGTTAAACATAAAACATGGAGATTATACCGCAGCGGTATTCAAACAATTCCATTAAATTATTCCATAGAATAGATTAACATATCGCTCCATAAACTCGCGATCATGCTTCATGCCATAACATCAAGCGTCTCGTATCTTCCTCGCGTCTACAGACTACAATGAAACGATCAAATGGCATCCATAACGGTGAAGAAGCACTGGACCCGATCAAAGGCAACAGTGCCCATTAACCGGGACACTAATCAAGCTACGACGAGGAACCAGCCAAGATGAGTCGCCGTGATCAACGAAGGCAACGCAAACACTGTCGCCGTTCGCCCGCGGAACCACGATGAAACTGAAATTAGAGTTCTATCTTCATCAGTAGTTACCCAAACCCCGCAGGAATTATCGTCCGGCTCCATCAGCGTCCGACCAGCGCAATCTGCACCGCGGTCGGCGGGTCCCCGAACGAGTCGGAGCTGTTTCGACCGGCGAAGGTAACGAGTCGAAGAAAGAACGACGCGCGGGAGGAGCAAGAAGAAGAAGACACTCGCCATGGAAGAATTTATCAGCGGTTAATCAGTAATCACTTAGGCAGTCCGGACTCGAGTTAACACCCGGGCCAGATCCATTCATCAACGTCGCTCCAGTTAGCTGGTTAGCCGCCGAAGGCGTGGGAGTGGCGGCTTCGCTTTATTACGAAGCGGAGGGAAAAAGAAGAGCGAGCGAACCGTTCCATAAATCCGTCCGACATAAATTCATGTCTTCGTATCGCGGCATGGTGAGACGAGGACGGGAGGCGCGAGCTGGGGGATGGGGCGGGAGGACAACAAAGATAACGAGGAGAGGCGAAGCGGGTTGCGCGAGCCCGAAAACTCTGAAGAAGAGCAATGTCTCGGAGGCGGGGGCTGCGTCAAAGACTAGACGCAGCGGCCGTTACGAGGCAGCGAACTTGCCTCGAGTGGTAATAAATTTCTGTTTAA